GGGTTTGTAGGGCCAAACGGTGGGGAGAGCATCAATAAAGAAACATATATGGGTTTGTAGGGCCAAAGGGTGGGGGAGACACAGAGGGGCTTGTGAAAGTGATGAACTGGTTTGCTTCAAGATTTCCACCAGATTCTCTTCTTCCCCCTCCCCTATCTGGAGAGAGATGGCTGCAGAAAAGTCAGGAGCTGTTGAGCAACATTCAGATCCCCTCTCCTTCACAGACATTATCTGCACTATGCTTCCCCCTTCACTGGTCTCTTTCCCTGCAACTTCAAATTTCGCCTCCCCTGCAGCCAGCCCTCCGCATTCATGCCTGAATTCTTGCAAAATGCAAAGCTCGGATCATGCGATCCAGATTGGCCAAAAAAGAATCAGGAAAGGTCTTCACGAGGAAAGCAAATAAGAATCCTTTTGCTTTGATGTTATCCGAGCACATCCTCTCCCCACCCGACTATCCCCTGCACCCCACCCTTACTCAGCTTACCAGTATAGAGTAAACTAAGGCAGCGACACCCAGGGGTAGACAACAGCAAAGCATAGTGAAAATGGCGTAGGCCAGGTGGTCAGGCTCATTGGTGAGTTCGACGGGTTGACGAACTGGCTCTTCCTTGGGGTCTTGGACAGCCATGCCATAATAAAGCTGGTTTGGCATAGGAGGATGAGCTTCATAAGCCCCAGGGGCTGTTGGATGAAGAGGTGGCTGCACTGGATCAGAGTAAGGGGGTGGTAGATCCTGGGGGTTAGGTACGCCGCCTGTGACCTTTTCATAACCTGCGTTACTCATTGCGCGAGGAGGTCTTTCTCTTCTCCCGTGGTGGTTCTGCAAAGGCTGTTTGTGCTCCTTAGTTCTCCAGAATCGGCCCTTTCTTTCCCACAGCAGTCGCTCTCCAGCTCTTCCAACCGGGGCTAAGTGCTTGGCAGTTCTAGCTGCTCTGTTCCACCTCTTTGCTTAATAATTCATCTATTGCTCTGACTTGTGGTTTGACTGGGTCCTAGAGTCCCTGAAGTAAGTGGGGGAAATATGAAGCCAAGCACTGAATAACAGGCATTTGTCCAGGGTGTGGCAAGCCTTTGGAAGACAGAAGACGTCTTGGCGGCAGAGAGTTCCAAGTTAACCTTTTGTTCCTCTTGTCACATGAAGGAACACGCTCAGCAAATCTATTCCCTACTTTCAAGCTGCAAAGAAGGAGACAGTTCCCAGAGGATTTCTTTTCAAAGTTTACTACCTCTGAATGCCATGCCATGGAAAACTCTTCAGTGTCCATTTACAGTCAGGACTCAAAATAATATTCCAGCCCTTCCAAAGTGTACTAATGGGAAGCTGTGCCAGCCTGGGTTGGAAGCAGTGTAGTGTAGTGGTTAGGGCATGGGTACACAACTTTTTCTGGGCTGAGAATCATAGCTAATCTTTAGATTTTGGGCTAGGGGTTGCGTTCATGAAAGTTGGCAAAATTACACTTGATTTCATTGAAATGTAATTGCAGTGGCATTATGTTACGTCATTGCAGTTAAAAGCATTATTCCCGTGGATTTACTTATTCCCTCCCCTTCTATAGCATTAAACACTACAGTTTTCTGACAATTTGAGAAGGAGCTCTGAGGTTTGCATGTTACCTGTATATTGTACATTTTTGAGTTTAGGAGCCAGGTTCAAAATATCTAATCTGCCACAACGCTTATTGGGTGGCTTTGGGGTGGTGTTCAGAGTTCAGGCGTTCAGGAAACCCATTTTACCCCGCAGAATTGTTGTTGTGAGGAGAAAATGGTGTGGTGTGTTAACACGTTTGTTATCTTGAGCATCTTGGAGGAGAAGGAGAAGGATGTGAGAAATGATAAAAGTGTTGTTTTTGCAGGTAGACTAATTTGACAGTAAATAAACCATAATGAGCAACTAGTAGTGAAAGGGGATCTTCCCGACCCCTGCTTTTCTAAGCAGAACATATGTTGTGATAAAATCAAGTTACTAGTCCTCAATTGCTTAAGCAGTTCTTAGCATAAAGTAGTGCTGGCTTGCTTAGAATAAGTAACAGAGCTAAGATGCAGAGGATGTAGCTATGTAACAGGAAGCCAGTGCAGGTGATAGAAGTCTCTGAGCTAATGAACTGAGCTGAGTTGGTTTTGTGGTAATAGTTGAACTAGATCTGAAACCGCATCACTGAATACACTCACTGCTAATGCCAAAAGCTGCCATAAAAGGAAATAAATAAATATGGGCAAGGGGCTTCTAAAATAAGGGTAATGGGAGATGTAAACTAAGGCGGGACTTCCGGGAGTTGTATTAGA